AAAATAAAAAAAAAATCCGTTTTGTGAAACTTCCCGTTGTCACATTTCGAGCTATCTCTGACATTTATCGAGTATCTTACATAAAGCATGTTCAAACTTAGATATACCCATATAGGTATCTCGGTTCTATCAGTCTAGGGTTAAGTGTATCGATGATCGATACACCCTACTTGTTATTTTATAAGTCCTGATAGCATATTAAAAAAATACAAGAATCAGAGTATTTGAGTTCCACATTTCAGCACCGGAAGATGCTGCACTGATAAGTTTCTTTGTATTCAAGATCATCATCAACTGGAACATATGATTTCACAATGAAGAGAATTTAAGCCGCGATCACGATCTTTTCATCGAGTGCACCAACATTTGTAGTACAATCAGATGTCGTATAGTTGAAATTTAACAGAACAACAAGTGTTCGATTGCCAAATAGAAAAAGAATGTGGTTGAGATCATGTCATTTGGTATTTCTACATCATTAAACGTTCACCCATGTCTGCACTTGTGACTTAGAAATCGAGAAATAATTATACTAATTATATATAGTACAGTAATCCTTCCTCGGCTAATTGTTATTAGTTTTAATTATTTTGTATTGATCGAGTTTGGATAGAAAATTCGCATGAAAATTTATTATTTTATTATCTTTTTATGATTAGAAACTTTGTTATACAAAAATAAAGCATTCTTTTAGAAATAGAAAATGTCTATTTCGATTAAACGAACCACATCGTATCCTGTACACCATTGTTGAGTATCATCACTTTTGTTTTGATATCTTCCAATGTAATAAGTTCCCCTTGATCTTTGTCATTTTCACTAAAAGCAGTAGACATAAGAAATTACAAAATAGTAATTGTTATAATTGTTTTTTACCTTTCCAGAATTTCATCATCACTATGGTCGAATTCGTATGCATGAGAAGCATATGCAGCCAAATGAGCATAGTGTACTGGTGCTGGAATTGAAACTGATTTCGAACATCGAACATCCGTATGACAAAGCTAAATAAATATAATATTAATTATTTTCTGTTCGTTTGAATATATCTTGAAAAAATAAAATCTACATACCCAGTATGTTAATTGTTGAATGTCATCACTACTAAATTCATTTTCATCATGGAGTACATGATACAATGCCGGACGTGATGTTCCCTTTCTAGTAAATAGAAAAAACAATATATAGATTTAATGATGTAAAATTTGAAAAACATACATAGCAGCTTGTGAACACAAGTAAAAATCGAATTGAGACGGATTTGTTATATCAAGATCAACAACAGTACCCGCTTCAATGTTGCCTGTATTTTGACCGTCATAAGCAAAGAATCTTGTATTATGTCGTTTTTTTTAACAATAATAAATGCTAATTTAAGTAATGGGTTGTTTCCATATACAACTGTTTTCAATAGAGAAATATTTTTGTTCTATTCATTAAACAGAAAGAAATATATTTTTCTACCTTGACAAGTAGTTTTTATTTTGCTAACTTTATTATCAAGTACTTTTTGAAATTGCCCATCATCAACACCGTCACGATAAAGAACGATTCGATTTGGTAGTGTATTACCGCATGAACGAGCACATACTTCAAGTAAATCGATAATCATCTTATCCATTTCTTTAATAATTTCGATCGAACATCGATCTTTTTTTCGATATTCTAAAATCGTAAAGAGGATACTTCTCGAAACA